GAAAGGGTCATCAAAAAGTTTAAAAGTGGCTCTGTGTGTCTGAAAACATGTGATCAAATTCTTCCTGCAGCTTTGCAATGTCATCAGTATAGCCTACTTACTACTGAATGATATGTATCAGTACTTTGCAAGTTGGGAAATGGCAGTGGTTTCTCGAAGAACCATAACACAAGATTTGTGCAGAATGCCCTGACATTGTCATACGCACAGACAAGCTACCCCTGGTTTTGTAACTTCTTGTTGAGTACATGCAGTTCCTATGTAATGTCAACAAGAAAAGCCAAGTCCATGAGCCATTTGGGATCACTTAATACAGGAACAAAAATCCCATCTTTCTCCATGAAGGCTTCAAATGCTAAAACATGTTCAAAAGTAAGCAGGAGCAGGCAATATTTATGAACTATTGATGCGAAGGAAGATGCTATTTTTGGGAGAATGCATTTTGATTTTTTTATCATAGAAAAGGCCTTTTTGACTAACCCTATTTTGAAAGTGGCCAAGCTGACAGGCTTGGAATTTCCTTCAATCGTAAGTGCATTACCCATTAAATGACTTTTAAAACTTTTCTCAAAACCACACTTTGGCCATGTTTGTCTCATAAAATGCTATAAAATAAAAACTTTTAGTCAGATTTTAAAACGCTTTTTAACCTTTATAATCAATGTCAGAAGATATACAAACATAATAAAAATCAGAATTAGACTAGTCGGTGAGATTCAACTGAAACCATCACAGAGGGTCACATTATAGAAATGAGAATGGGGAAAACATGCGGGCTGCATTAACACTAAACTCTGTTGTCATGTAGCGGGCCTAAAAATATCATCTTGCGGGCCGCAAATGGGCAGCGAGTTTGAGACCCCTGCTTTTAGCAGTATCTACCCGCATTAGATTTTATAAATTTTCACCAAAGTCAATGCATTACTTTATTTGGTGTTGGTCATTACAAAGAATCCAGCTCCCATCTAGATTACTGGGACCCGAAGACTTTCCTATCATATTATTATCATCCTACAAAGCACAGTTGTTAAAACGCAGTGCTCAGATATATATATCTCATCTATTTTAAATTGGTCCTGATGGTGAGAGCATGGACAGTTTATAATGACCAAATAGCTACACATCAAGCTACTTTTGTTTTCCCAATTCATCTTTCCCAACACCATTAGTAATTATACCCTATACCCTGTACAAGCAAAATAAAGAAGGAGAAGATTGTATGAGATATCATGTTTTCCCATGTTCCGGAATGGTTGCTTTGCTATGCTTAACATAAATTGATACCACCATTACCTGTCAAACTAACCCACTCTTAAGCTTTTGTGATCTCCCCATTTTTCCATGTTAAAACTTCTCCTGTGCTCTTGTGTGATTTCCCAACAATATTGAATCAAAGAATGTTGTTTGAAAAATATGTTCTCCCTAAAACTAAAATGATTTATTTATGTACACCAGAAAATTTCTCAATCTTGGGCCATGGGCTGGACAGCACTGCTATACACAGTCTAGTGTACTAGTCTGAGGGTCGTCTACTGAGTGGGCGGGGGAGGGGGGGGGGTGAAAATACAAAAAACAAGATATTATTATTACCAGTACATTTGGGGGGGGGGGGGGGGG